TCAGCTACTCCAGTCAAACAGTTGTGTCACTGTTGTTTCTGATTTGGGTTCTGATGAGCTTAAGCTTGAGGCTTCCTCGATCTTCCTCGTGTATTTGCATTGATTGAGAAGGAAGCTTTGTTTGTTGTTGCTGTTTGACCCTGTAGGCCAATAGGTTTGGATTGATATATCTCTATATATTTGTTTAGTGCATGGCAATATTGATTTGCCCTAGCATTGTCCCTTCCAAGCAGTTTCATGATCACACCTCACAGAAACACATCCTTTGTTGGCGTTCTGACTAGGCTATGATACTGCACATGTCACAGAGGGATGAGGCCAGCAGCACACACTCCAACCTTGGTCCCAGATCGTCAAAGTTTCTTGGCTTCCCAAAAAGACATCTGATTTGGGGTGAACATGCAAAAACCACCCGTGACGGCGCCCATATATATATATATATATACATCCCGGTCATACCTTGATCAGATCTTGCCACACCACCGAACTATAATGTGTACTGTGAATCTCCACATGGAGAAAACACCATCCTTTTGGTGCCAGTCCCAGAACACCCCGGAGCCGATCGGACGCACCCCACGGAGCCGATCGGAGCTTCGTTCGCCGCACGGCGCGCGTAAACGGCGACGGGCGCGATCGCGCAGCCACAACACTCGCGACCTCATGATGGGTGCACCACTTCAATGGTGTTGCGCGAGAAGTTTCAGCTCAATTACGATCCAGAGGACATGGGGATGGAAGTGGTCAAGTGGGTGTTGGCAGGCAGCAGGCGGTGGTTTTGTGTTTGAGGGCCCAGAATGAAGATATTCCAGAAGAAATCAGAAGAATCTAGTTGTTCGTTATCTACCCATTTGTCAGGCCCTTTTGGGATGGGTGACGGCGAATTGGGGAATTGCTGCAACACTCTTTTGGTGCGAATCCCAAGCGATGTGTTTGGCCTGGCCCCATCTGAATAGAAGCAACCAGGACATTTACCACCTAGTAGTGAGAGAGCGACCGGCGACAACGTCGATGGCGGCAGTGTGATTTAAGGAGGCAGAATGTTAACAACTTGTGGAGATCATGAAATACTACTACTGTAAACAAAAGAGGAACGTGATTTGAATGTAACGGGCTTGCTCGTGGTTGTAGTTGTTGCATGTACTTTTGGACTGGCAAGAGGGTTCTGTCAGGGATTCCCATTTCCTTTCATACATGCAGTGCGAGGGGACTTCCTTCCAGTTTCGCATGTCTTGAAGAAAGAGGCATTAGGTTGGAGGCCATTGCTTGTAGGTTGGAGGCCATACGTGTAGGTTGGAGGCCACCGCTAGGTTGGAGGCCATTGTTTCTTTCATTTTCTTTCTTTGGGTAAAGGTTTTGTTTGTCAAGGACAACACACAGCAGCTGTCCATCGTCATCAAGCAACAGGAGGTCCGACGATCACCGGCCGTTTGGCCGTTTGATCGTGTCCGTTTGGCCGTCTTGTCCTTGAATCTATGTATTGTTGTTTAATAGTTCAAAGCGGATCAATACCTGCAATATCACCCACATGGATGCATTG